CCGGTGGCCTACAGTGGAAAAAAGGAGGATTCAGATACCTTGGAGTCTTCCTGGGGGATGAGACCAACAAGAATAAAAACTGGGACAATGTCCTGGAGCAGGTAAAAGGTCGGCTGGGGAAGTGGAGGTGGCTACTCCCAAAAATGTCGTACAGAGGCCGAACTTTAATAGCCAATAACCTGGTCTCATCCTCCTTGTGGCACCGGCTGGCCTGTGTCGATCCTCCGGTTCCTCTCCTGTCAAAAATTCAGTCGGTTTTAGTTGATTTTATTTGGGACAAGTTGCACTGGGTCCCACAGAGTGTCTTGTTTTTACCTAAAGAGGAGGGGGGGCAAGGCCTGGTCCATCTGGCCAGCAGGGGCGCGGCTTTCCGCCTCCAGTTTATTCAAAGACTACTGACCGGACCAAAGGACACTCTGTGGAGACCCCTGTCCCGCTGCATTCTGCAGGGTTTTAACGGCCTGGGTCATGATTTTAATTTGTTTTTAATGAACATACCAAACATGAGCACATCTACCCTGCCTGCTTTTTATAAAAGTGTTTTTAGAGTGTGGAACCTGCTGAGGAAAGAGAGGAGGGGGCAGGTGGACTCCCTGTACTGGATCCTCCAAGAGCCGGTCCTGTGGGGGACCCGTCTGGACCTTCCCAGCTGGGCAGGTCGGGGTCTGGCCACGAGACTGCAGACTGCGGGGGTTGTTACTCTGGGACAGGTGGTGGCGCTGACTGGACCCCGGATGGATGACCCCTCTGGACTCGCTGCCCGGCTGGGATTGACGTCAGTGAGGGTCACACAAAAGCTCTTGGAACACTGGAAACAGAGACTCACAGGACACGACCGCCTGCTTTTAAACTCCTCTTTTAATCAAACAGTGACTGATGATCCTTTTCCTGCCATTTCCCTGGCACCGGATTGAGTGAACTCCTTTGTGTCCACCATAAACCCGGCAGTAGAGGATAAGTGTCCCTACTGCGACCAAAGAGAGACTGTGTTTCACTGTTTTTATGAGTGTCTTCGTCTTTTACCCTTGTTTCTGTTTTTACAAACTGTTTTTACCAAATGTGGAGAGGTTTTTACCAAGCAGTTTTTTATTCTGGGTTTTAAATACACACGCCAACACAAGAACAAATGCCAGCTTTTAAACTTTGTTTTAGGGCAGGCTAAGATGGCGGTGTATTTTAGCCGGAGGAGGAAGGTGGAGGATGGTTTTATTGTTGAACCTGTCACTGTTTGTACCAATATGATGAAGTCCAGACTCCTCATTGATTTTAACTATTACAAAGCAGCAGGAGATCTGGACTCGTTCCAGCAGGTTTGGTGTTTTAATCAGGTGTTGTGTTGTGTGGAAAATCACACACTGCAGCTTGGAGATGTGCTCATGTGAATGAGGTATTTGTGTTGCAGCATTGACTACCGGTAGCTCTCTCTCTCTCTCTCTCTCTCTCTGTCTGTCTCTCTCGCTCTCTCTCTCTCTCTCTCTCTCTCTCTCTCTCTCTCTCTCTCTCTCTCTCTCTCGCTCTCTCTCTCTCCCTCTCTCTCTGTCTGTCTCTCTCTCGCTTCCTCTCTCTCTCTCTGTCTCTCTCTCTCTCTCTCTCTCTCTCTCTCTCTCTCTCTCTCTCTCTCGCTCTCTCTCTCTTTCTCTCTCTCTCTCTCTCTCTCTCTCTCTCTCTCTCTCTCTCTCTCTCTCTCTCTCTCTCTCCTGCAGCTCTTCGTCTGTATATTCCGACTCGAAAAGATAAGGACGTCCATCAAACTGAAAGGGTTCGTTGTCGATGTCTTCAGATTCAGTTGAATAATCCGCCATCTCTTCAGTGTGTATCCTGTGGAAGCACTCGTAGACTAGTAGTCTCTGTTGCATTCAGGGCTTTCTTCCGGCAACAACGTGAGTTCACATGAGATGGTGCGTTCAAGTCACATCTCAGTGAGTTGGACTGGTCACGTGACTGTTTTCCCAAGATGGCGCCCGCCTGTATATGTGAACACTACTGTTGTTCTAAACTATCTTTTTAATAAACTGTCTGTACACTTACAACGTTATCAATGCTTCAGTTTACAGGTAGGGGCCCTCATTATGCTACCGTGTAAGTGTGGTGCTATTTTGAGTCTTGTTTGTGGTATAGAAATAGATTTCTTTTCACGTTACTCGGTGCCCCGTTGACCAAAGTTATAAGCTAATTAGAGGTTTGTGCTAAAACTGGTCACGTGTGATTAAAATGAAAACATATCCCAGAGACCGAACCAACTCGGTACACATGTGTTATTAACCCCAGGTTCATTTTGTGCCGGAATTGTCCTTTAATATAGTTTGATATTATCACAGCTAATAACACACATACAATTAGACTATTTCATCTGACTGTACAAATGTTCTCTCAATTTAACATAATCTGTACATTAGATGGTTTGTCCCATAAGATTGTTCCTGCCAATAAAACAGTGGTCAATTCCTAATTTAATAATTAATGCATTTTAATACCTAATCTTCAGTGTTGTTAAGAATAGTAATTAATAATAAATAAATAAGGCTACACTATAAACATAAAGCTTTAAATATACTCTGTGATCAGTATCAGATACTGCTTCTAGTGAGCGGTCTCAAAAACCCGACCGGAGCACCTTTAGAGTTTCATCTTGGAAAACAATAGACAGCACAGCAATGTCACACTACCACTGACTGGTGGTCTGTAGACTGTGTAGCACTTGAGGCACGCAGACAAATCTCTCTACACACACACAAATCCCCACATGCATTTGCAGATCTGCCACAGCAGAAGTTTAGCAAAAGTCATGTCTAAAAAGAGCCAATTGAGAGTCTTGTCTGAGTTGTAACCGATGAATTGTCTGTATTTCCAGCTCTCGGAGCAAAAAGTTAGACTGAGTCATTAATATGTTTGTCTGCTTTTACAGATTTCTCTACATATTTACAAATCTCAATACATTTCTTGATCTGATTATACAAACACAGATTTAGACATAGCTACACAATTCTCCACTCACATTTGTGAATAGTTTTGCTACCATAGATATGTTAAGATACTTGGAGAGATATTTACTTAGAAAAATCTTAGTAACAATTTCCACACAGAAATTCTTAGTAAAATTCACAGAGAATATTTAAAGTGACCTTTTATTTATGTTTAAGACTAGTCTCTATTAAAACTTCTTAAGTTAACTTTACTAGCTGTTTTTTGTCTTTGTCAGTAAATTATCTATGGCACTTTTACTTAAAACTTGTAATAAAAGCAGGGTCCCAAATAAACACAGGTTTCCAATAAAGGCCTGGTCTGGATTTTATAGAAATTATCTCGATATATAAAACCTTTTAAAACCCACCGGGTCGCCCGTGTTATATCCCAACTGGTGTTCAAACTAACTGGTTGCTGTACGTGTGTGCATGTTGTGTGCTGCAGCTGTGATGTGTCTCTGTCACCAGATTCGTCAGACATTCACAAACATATTACTGGTGATTTTCAAGTCTCATATCTACAGTAGTATCTACAGTAGATATCTACAGCCACACACACAAAAAATACATTCTAGAAAATTTAAGTTTAAATAGCATCAAGCTGGATTCGATCTCACTGGATCAAAACCAATACAGTTCCCCAACGTATTGCTTTTGTCCATGAGCCACTGGAGTGACTCTGTCTCACTGTTTCCAGTCATGTATTGATTGATTACGTCAGCACCCAGGTAACATTTATTTGGGGGTTGATCTAAAACAACTGGTTACCTCGTGCTGGTTGTTGAAAATATACAAACATGTTTATCAGAGTTCTTTCTCGAGGCTACCGTCACACTGACCACTATATTACAGCCCCCTATGACACTAGACATTATGACAAAGAAATATTTTCAGACAGTGAAGATGTAACTTACATAATACTGTCAAATATACGAAGTGATTGTGAGCCACACACAGATTGTTTGTGTTAGTTCATTCAGATTCACCGGTACTGTAAACAACAGAGACGGAAAAAAACTCTGAAGCGATCATAAACTCTGTACAGTCTGTGTCCGTTCCTCCATTGTTTATATTCCTTTAGTAGTAGTCCTTTCATACGTAATACGGAGCCCCTAAAGGGACATGGGGAAAAAGAAAAAAAATGAAAAGATCTTGTGAGCACGAGAAACCTTATATTAAGCACAGGCAGTTGTGCTTCCTTTGTGTTATGCCTCTAGGCTCATTAACTGCGGTTAAGCCGTTACTCCAATCTCCATGGTCAAATCAGCCTCACAATTAAGAGTGTTATATATATATATATATATATTATATAAGTGTTATATTCTCAGCACTATGGTAATTGCGGAGAAACAGCGTATTCACTTCCGGTTTTCAAAATAAAGGTATTAAGAACAGTAACCTACATTTAAAATAAAATATGTTACATTAAAGTGTTTAATGCGACCATGATGAATAAAAAACATATTTCTACTGCACCAATTTGGAGAAATGCCAAAACAAAAGTTCCATATTTGTACCTCCAAGTGGAATCTTTTATTATATTTGAGGTACTGTAAAAACACATTGCTCAATAATTCCTGGCTATGAATGGTATGTTTAACTTCTACACATATAAGACTACAAGTATGCTTAATATCAAGCATTTTTAGTGCACAAATTTAGAGAAATTCAACAGTAAAAGTCCATATTTGTTTGATAGACGAGATGCCTCTAGGCTCATTAACTGCGGTTAAGTCAGCTTTTACTAGGGTGGCCATTCGTCCACTTTAGGCCGGACAGTGCGGCTTTTAAATGCCCTGTCCAGCTGCAGCCGCGATCCGTATGTCGTGCTCATGAGAAGCGTTTCATTTTTTTTCTTTTCCCCCATGTCCCTTTAGGGGCTCCGTACTTTCATGGTGTGTGTGTGCGATTTCACTGTATGATGTTCATTAGCAGGTATTTGTAGGCTTTTATCAGATAAACTCCAAATCAGTAATGTATGGCTCTTTTTCTGTTGTTGACATCATATCATAACAAAATTTTCAATTCTTGTTACAGTGTCTGTTACTCGTTTGAAGGTGAAGCCAAGTTCTTTGGGAATCTGTTCTGTGCAGCAGCAGAGAGAGAACAGCAGACAGGAGAGAAGATACTGGAGCTGTTATCATCAGTGTGCAGATATGAAACATTCCCTCTTAATGACAGATACATGTATTATGATGCCAATAAACATCAGTGTGATTTCCTGCTGGATCTTTGCTCCCACCTGAAGGACTATGAGACTAAAACAGGCTTGAGTGTCCTTCCATCATTACAGTCAGTTCTCCAGTCAGCTCCTGCAGTCTGGTCCATAAACCTCTCAGAGAGAAAGACCTCCATCCTCCTGGAAGTGCTGAAACTCCAATCAGAGAAGAAACAAGTGAAGCTGACAGGCTGCTCACATGAAGAGAGTGAAGTGAGGAGTTTCCTACAGTGTCTGCCTTATATCTCACAGCTCAGGTAAGTCTGATAATATTGAAAGGAAGTTTGTGAAAACATTATTTGACTATAATTTAAAATTGAACAAAATGTTGAAAGAGATGATTGCTGTCTGTCAGTGGATTCATTATTCAGTATTTTAAAGGACAATTCCGGCGCAAAATGAACCTGGGGTTAATAACACATGTGTCCCGAGTTGGTTCGGTCTCTGGGATATGTTTTCATTTTAATCGCACGTGACCAGTTTTAGCACAAACCTCTAATTAGCTTATAACGCTGGTCAACGGGGCACCGAGTAACGTGAAAAGAAATCTATTTCTATTCCACAAACAAGACTCAAAATAGCACCACACTTACACGGTAGCATAATGAGGGCCCCTACCTGTAAATTGAAGCATTGATAACGTTGTAAGTGTACAGACAGTTTATTAAAAGATAGTTTAGAACAACAGTAGCGTTCACATATACAGGCGGGCGCCATCTTGGGAAAACAGTCACGTGACCAGTCGAATTTGCTCAATATATCAGAAATAATCGCACCGATATAAAACATAACTCATCTAGTGTACTTACTCAGTGGATAACTGTGCTTCTGGTCCCTCCGGTATGAGTCGCTGCCTCCAATTTATTTTCGGGACATGGAAAAAAGTTTCAAGTGCAGCTCTGTTTATCAGAGAGGGGAAATCTTCACACTGTACAAAACACTGCGTGCAACACAGCCACTCCTCTTCAGTGGCCATAGCTTCACAATGTCTGCAGGTACACCACCAGTTTCCTGAAGTACGAGGCTGTGTTGCAGCATTGACTACCAGTAGCTCTCTCTCTCTCTCTCTCTCTCTCTCTCTCTCTCTCTCTCTCTCTCTCTCTCTGCTCTCTGTCTCTCTCTCTCTCTCTCTCTCTCTCTCTCTCTCTCTCTCTCTCTGTCTCTCTCTCTCTCTCGCTCTCTCTCTCTCTCTCTCTCTCTCTCTCTCTCTCTCTCTCTCTCTCTCGCTCTCTCTCTCTCTCTCTCTCTCTCTCTCTCTCTCTCTCTCTCTCTCTCTCTCTCTCTCTCTCTCTCTCTCTCTCTCTCTCTCTCTCTCTCTCTCTCTCTCTGTCTCTCTCCCACCCTTTCACGGAGCTCCTGCAGCTCTTCGTCTGTATATTCCGGCTCGAAAAGATAAGGACGTCCATCAAACTGAAAGGGTTCGTTGTCGATGTCTTCAGATTCAGTTGAATAATCCGCCATCTCTTCAGTGTGTATCCTGTGGAAGCACTAGTAGACTAGTAGTCTCTGTTGCGTTCAGGGCTTTCTTCCAGCAACAAGGTGAGTTCACGTGAGATGGTGCGTTCAAGTCACATCTCAGAGAGTTGGACTGGTCACCACTGTTTTCCCAAGATGGCGCCCGCCTGTATATGTGAACGCTACTGTTGTTCTAAACTATCTTTTTAATAAACTGTCTGTACACTTACAACGTTCTCAATGCTTCAGTTTACAGGTAGGGGCCCTCATTATGCTACCGTGTAAGTGTGGTGCTATTTTGAGTCTTGTTTGTGGAATAGAAATAGATTTCTTTTCACGTTACTCGGTGCCCCGTTGACCAGCGTTATAAGCTAATTAGCGGTTTGTGCTAAAACTGGTCACGTGTGATTAAAATGAAAACATATCCCAGAGACCGAACCAACTCGGGACACATGTGTTATTAACCCCAGGTTCATTTTGTGCCGGAATTGTCCTTTAATATAGTTTGATATTATCACAGCTAATAACACACATACAATTAGACTATTTCATCTGACTGTACAAATGTTCTCTCAATTTAACATAATCTGTACATTAGATGGTTTGTCCCATAAGATTGTTCCTGCCAATAAAACAGTGGTCAATTCCTAATTTAATAATTAATGCATTTTAATACCTAATCTACAATGTTGTTAAGAATAGTAATTAATAATAAATAAATAAATAAGGCTACACTATAAACATAAAGCTTTAAATATACTCTGTGATCAGTATCAGATACTGCTTCTAGTGAGCGGTCTCATAAACCCGACCGGAGCACCTTTAGAGTTTCATCTTGGAAAACAATAGACAGCACAGCAATGTCACGCTACCGCTGACTGGTGGTCTGTAGGCTGTGTAGTTACTGAGGCACACAGACAAATCTCTCTACACACACACACAAATCCCCACATGCATTTGCAGATCTGCCACAGCAGAAGTTTAGCAAAAGTCATGTCTAAAAAGAGCCAATTGAGAGTCTTGTCTGAGTTGTAACCGATGAATTGTCTTTATTTCCAGCTCTCGGAGCAAAAAGTTAGACTGAGTCATTAATATGTTTGTCTGCTTTTACAGATTTCTCTACATATTTACAAATCTCAATACATTTGTTGATCTGATTACACAAACACAAAGATTTAGACATAGCTACACAATTCTCCACTCACATTTGTGAATAGTTTTGCTACCATAGATATGTTAAGATACTTGGAGAGATATTTACTTAGAAAAATCTTGGTAACAATTTCCACACAGAAATTCTTAGTAAAATTCACAGAGGATATTTCAAGTGACCTTTTATTTATGTTTAAGACAAGTCTCTTTTAAAACTTCTTAAGTTAAGTTTACTAGCTGTTTTATTGTCTTTGTCAGTAAATTATCTATGGCAGTTTTACTTAAAACTTGTAATAAAAGCAGGGTCCCAAATAAACACAGGTCTCCAATAAAGGCCTGGTCTGGATTTTATAGAAATGATCTTGATGTATAAAACCTCTTAAAACCCACCGGGTCGCCCGTGTTATATCCCAACTGGTGTTCAAACTAACTGGTTGCTGTACGTGTGTGCATGTTGTGTGCTGCAGCTGTGATGTGTCTCTGTCACCAGATTCGTCGACATTCACAAACATATTACTGGTGATTTTCAAGTCTCATATCTACAGTAGTAGATGTATAAGTGAGCCCTACATTACAGCCACACACACAAAAAATACATTCTAGAAAATATAAGTTTAAATAGCATCAAGCTGGATTCGATCTCACTGGATCAAAACCAATACAGTTCCCCAACGTATTGCTTTTGTCCATGAGCCACTGGAGTGACTCTGTCTCCCTGCTTCCAGTCATGTATTGATTGATTACGTCAGCACCCAGGTAACATTTATTTGGGGGTTGATCTAAAACAACTGGTTACCTCGTGCTCGTTGTTGAAAATATACAAACATGTTTATCAGAGTTCTTTCTCGAGGCTACCGTCACACTGACCACTATATTACAGCCCCCTATGACACTAGACATTATGACAAAGAAATATTTTCAGACAGTGAAGATGTAACTTACATAATACTGTCAAAATATACGAAGTGATTGTGAGCCACACACAGATTGTTTGTGTTAGTTCATTCAGATTCACTGGCGCTGTAAACACCAGAGACAGAAAAAACTCTGAAGCGATCATAAACTCTGTACAGTCTGTGTCCGTTCCTCCATTGTTTATATCCCTTTAGTAGTAGTCCTTTCATATGGAGCCCCTAAAGGGACATGGGGGAAAAAAAAAAGTGAAACGTTTCTCGTGAGCACGAGAAACCTTATATTAAGCACAGGCAGTTGTGCTTCCTGTGTGTTATGCCTCTAGGCTCATTAACTGCGGTTAAGCCGTTACTCTGATCTCCGAGGTCAAATCAGCCTCACAATTAAGAGTGTCATATATATATATATATATATATATATATGTATTATATAAGTGTTGTATTCTCAGCATTATGGTAATTGCGGAGAAACAGCGTATTCACTTCCGGTTTTCAAAATAAAGATATTTAGAACAGTAACCTACATTTAAAATAAAATACGTTACATTAAAGTGTTTAATGCGAACACGATGAATAAAAAACATACTTAATATCAAGCATTTCTACTGCACCAATGTGAAGAAATGCCAAAACAAAAGTTACATATTTGTACATCCAAGTGGAATCTTTTATTATATTTGAGGTACTGTAAAAACACATTGCTCAATAATTCCTGGCTAATATCAAGCATTTTTACTGCACAAATTTAGAGAAATTCAACAATAAAAGTCCATATTTGTTTGATTGACGAGATGCCTCTAGGCTCATTAACTGCAGTTAAGTCAGCCTTTACTAGGGTGGCCATTCGTCCGCTTTAGGCCGGACAGTGCGGCTTTTAAATGCCCTGTCCAGCTGCAGGTGCAGCCTTAAGCCAGAGACTCATTTGTCCTCCTTTTCAGATAATAACAAAAAAGGCCCACCTTTTGACACATTACCTTGTTAGTTTAATACTTATTGGCTAAAAATGTGTGTCAAAATAAGTAATTTCATTGGTTACATTTTCGTGTTGTGACCTATCAACACATGTCTAATTTAAATATTCAAATGAGCCATGTGTTGATGCACCATGCTCACTGAGAGCTGTCAATCAAGCTCTCAGACAGAGAATGTAACAAATATGGACTTTTATTGTTGAATTTCTCCAAATTGGTGCAGTAAAAATGCTTGATATGAAGTATGTTTTTTATTCATCATGGTCGCATTAAACACTTTAATGTAACATATTTTATTTTTATGTAGGTTACTGTTCTTAATACCTTTATTTTGAAAACCGGAAGTGAATATGCTGTTTCTCCGCAATTACCATAATGCTGAGAATATAACACTTATATAATATATATACTATATATATATATATATTATATAAGTGTTATATAATATATGTAATATATATTATATAACACTTACATATATATTATATAAGTGTTATATAATATATATTATATATATATATAACACTCTTAATTGTGAGGCTGATTTGACCACAGAGATCGGAGTAAAGGTTTAACCACAGTTAATGAGCCTAGAGGCATAACACACAGGAAGCACAACTGCCTGTGCTTAATATAAGGTTTCTCATCCTCACGAGATCAGTTTCATTTTTCTTCTTTTTCCCCATGTCCCTTTAGGGACTCCGTACTTTCATGGTGTGTGTGTGTGATTTCACTGTATGATGTTCATTAGCAGGTATTTGTAGGCTTTTATCAGATAAACTCCATATCAGTAATGTATGGCTCTTTTTCTGTTGATGACATCATATCATAACAAAATGTTCAATTCTTGTTACAGTGTCTCTGACTGGTTTGAAGATGAAGCCAAGTTCTTTGGGAATCTGTTCTGTGCAGCAGCAGAGAGAGAACAGCAGACAGGAGAGAAGATACTGGAGCTGTTATCATCAGTGTGCAGATATAAAACATTCCCTCTTAATGAATGGGATTATGATTATGAGGAATCTCAGTATGATTTCTTGTACGATCTTTGCTCCCATCTGAAGGACTATGAGACTAAATCAGGCTTGAGTGTCCTTCCATTATTACCGTCAGTTTTCCAGTCATCTCCTGCAGTCTGGTCCATAAACCTCTCAGAGAGAAAGCCCTCTGTCCTCCTGGAAGTGCTGAAACTCCAATCAGAGAAGAAACAAGTGGAGCTGACAGGCTGCTCACATGAAGAGAGTGAAGTGAGGAGTTTCCTACAGTGTCTGCCTTATATCTCACAGCTCAGGTAAGTCTGATAATATTGAAAGGAAGTTTGTGAAACATTATTTGACTATAATTTAAAATTGAACAAAATGTTGAAAGAGATGATTGCTGTCTGTCAGTGGATTCATTATTCAGCAGTATTTTAATATAGTTTGATATTATCACAGCTAATAACACACATACAATTAGACTATTTCATCTGACTGTACAAATGTTCTTTCAATTTAACATAATCTGTACATTAGATGGTTTGTCCCATAAGATTGTTCCTGCCAATGAAACAGTGGTCAATTCCTAATTTAATAATTAATGCATTTTAATACCTAATCTACAATGTTGTTAAGAATAGTAATTAATAATAAATAAATAAATAAGCCTACACTATAAACATAAAGCCTCAAATATACTCTGTGATCAGTATCAGATACTGCTTCTAGTGAGCGGTGAGCGGTCTCATAAACCCGACCGGAGCACGTTTAGAGTTTCATCTTGGAAAACAATAGACAGCAAAGCAATGTCACGCTACCGCTGACTGGTGGTCTGTAGGCTGTGTAGTTACTGAGGCACACAGACAAATCTCTCTACACACACACACAAATCCCCACATGCATTTGCAGATCTGCCACAGCAGAAGTTTAGCAAAAGTCATGTCTAAAAAGAGCCAATTGAGGGTCTTGTCTGAGTTGTAACCGATGAATTGTCTGTATTTCCAGCTCTCAGAGCAAAAAGTTAGACTGAGTCATTAATATGTTTGTCTGCTTTTACAGATTTCTCTACATATTTACAAATCTCAATACATTTGTTGATCTGATTATACAAACACAAAGATTTAGACATAGCTACACAATTCTCCACTCACATTTGTGAATCGTTTGCTACCATAGATATGGTTAGATACTTGGAGAGATATTCACTTAGAAAAATCTTGGTAACAATTTCCACACAGAAATTCTCAGTTAAATTCACAGAGGATATTTCAAGTGACCTTTTATTTATGTTTAAGACTAGTCTCTATTAAAACTTCTTAAGTTAACTTTAATAGCTGTTTTTTGTCTTTGTCAGTAAATTTTCCATGGCAGTTTTACTTAGACTATGTACCGTAAAACTACCAATAAAAACAGGGTACCAAATAAACACAGGTCTCCAATAAAGGCCTGGTCTGGATTTTTTAGAAATGATCTCGATGTATAAAACCTCTTAAAACCCACCGGGTCGCCCGTGTTATATCCCAACTGGTGTTCAAACTAACTGGTTGCAGTACGTGTGTGCGTGTTGTGTGCTGCAGCTGTAATGTGTCTCTGTCACCAGATTCGTCGACAATCACAAACATGTTACTGGTGATTTTCAAGTCTCATATCTACAGTAGTAGATGTATAAGTGAGCCCTACATTACAGCCACACACAATAAAAAATACATTCTAGAAAATTTAAGTTTAAATAGCATCAAGCTGGTTTCGATCTCACTGGAGCAAAACCAATACAGTTCCCCAGCGTATTGCTTTTGTCCATGAGCCACTGGAGTGACTCTGTCTCACTGCTTCCAGTCATGTATTGATTGATTACGTCAGCACCCAGGTAACATTTATTTGGGGGTTGATCTAAAACAACTGGTTACCTCGTGCTCGTTGTTGAAAATATACAAATATGTTTATCAGAGTTCTTTCTCGAGGCTACCGTCACACTGACCACTATATTACAGCCCCCTATGACACTAGACATTATAACTAAGAAATATTTTCAGACAGTGAAGATGTAACTTAGATAATACTGTCAAAATATACGAAGTTATTGTGAGCCACACACAGATTGTTTGTGTTAGTTCATTCAGATTCACTGGCACTGTAAACAACAAATACGGAAAAAAACTCTGAAGCGATCATAAACTCTGTACAGTCTGTGTCCGTTCCTCCATTGTTTATATCCCTTTAGTAGTAGTCCTTTCATATGGAGCCCCTAAAGGGACATGGGGGAAAAAAAAAGTGAAACGTTTCTCGTGAGCACGAGAAACCTTATATTAAGCACAGGCAGTTGTGCTTCCTGTGTGTTATGCCTCTAGGCTCATTAACTGCGGTTAAGCCGTTACTCTGATCTCCGAGGTCAAATCAGCCTCACAATTAAGAGTGTCATATATATATATATATATATATATATATATATGTATTATATAAGTGTTGTATTCTCAGCATTATGGTAATTGCGGAGAAACAGCGTATTCACTTCCGGTTTTCAAAATAAAGATATTTAGAACAGTAACCTACATTTAAAATAAAATACGTTACATTAAAGTGTTTAATGCGAACACGATGAATAAAAAACATACTTAATATCAAGCATTTCTACTGCACCAATGTGAAGAAATGCCAAAACAAAAGTTACATATTTGTACATCCAAGTGGAATCTTTTATTATATTTGAGGTACTGTAAAAACACATTGCTCAATAATTCCTGGCTAATATCAAGCATTTTTACTGCACAAATTTAGAGAAATTCAACAATAAAAGTCCATATTTGTTTGATTGACGAGATGCCTCTAGGCTCATTAACTGCAGTTAAGTCAGCCTTTACTAGGGTGGCCATTCGTCCGCTTTAGGCCGGACAGTGCAGCTTTTAAATGCCCTGTCCAGCTGCAGGTGCAGCCTTAAGCCAGAGACTCATTTGTCCTCCTTTTCAGATAATAACAAAAAAGGCCCGCCTTTTGACACATTACCTTGTTAGTTTAATACTTATTGGCTAAAAATGTGTGTCAAAATAAGTAATTTCATTGGTTACATTTTCGTGTTGTGACCTATCAACACATGGCTAATTTAAATATTCAAATGAGCCATGTGTTGATGCACCTCATGCCAGTTGCTACCTGGTGGTTCTCCTTCATTGAGAGCTGTCAATCAAGCTCTCAGACAGAGAATGTAACAAATATGGACTTTTGTTGTTGAATTTCTCCACATTGGTGCAGTAAAAATGCTTGATATTAAGTATGTTTTTTATTCATCATGGTCGCATTAAACACTTTAATGTAACATATTTTATTTTTATGTAGGTTACTGTTCTTAATACCTTTATTTTGAAAACCGGAAGTGAATATGCTGTTTCTCCGCAATTACCATAATGCTGAGAATATAACACTTATATACTATATATATATATATATATATATATAAACACTCTTAATTGTGAGGCTGATTTGACCACGGAGATCAGAGTAACGGCTGAACCGCAGTTAATGAGCCTAGAGGCATAACACACAGGAAGCACAACTGCCTGTGCTTAATATAAGGTTTCTCGTGCTCACGAGATCCGTTTCATTTTTCTTCTTTTTCCCCATGTCCCTTTAGGGACTCCGTACTTTCATGGTGTGTGTGTGTGATTTCACTGTATGATGTTCATTAGCAGGTATTTGTAGGCTTTTATCAGATAAACTCCAAATCAGTAATGTATGGCTCTTTTTCTGTTGTTGACATCATATCATAACAAAATGTTCAATTCTTGTTACAGTGTCTCTCAGAGGTTTAAAGGTAAAGCCAAGTTCTTTGGGAATCTGTTCTGTGCAGCAGCAGAGAGAGAACAGCAGACAGGAGAGAAGATACTGGAGCTGTTATCATCAGTGTGCAGATATGAAACATTCCCTCTTAATGAAGAGTATGATGATTATGAGGAATATCAGTATGATTTCCTGCTGGATCTTTGCTCCCACCTGAAGGACTATGAGACTAAAACAGGCTTGAGTGTCCTTCCATCATTACAGTCAGTTCTCCAGTCAGCTCCTGCAGTCTGGTTCATAAACCTCTCAGAGAGAAAGACCTCCATCCTCCTGGAAGTGCTGAAACTCCAATCAGAGAAGAAACAAGTGAAGCTGACAGGCTGCTCACATGAAGAGAGTGAAGTGAGGAGTTTCCTACAGTGTCTGCCTTATATCTCACAGCTCAGGTAAGTCTGATAATATTGAAAGGAAGTTTGTGAAAACATTATTTGACTATAATTTAAAATTGAACAAAATGTTGAAAGAGATGATTGCTGTCTGTCAGTGGATTCATTATTCAGTATTTTAAAGGACAATTCCGGCACAAAATGAACCTGGGGTTAATAACACATGTGTCCCGAGTTGGTTCGGTCTCTGGGATATGTTTTCATTCTAATCGCACGTGACCAGTTTTAGCACAAACCGCTAATTAGCTTATAACGCTGGTCAACGGGGCACCGAGTAACGTGAAAAGAAATCTATTTCTATTCCACAAACAAGACTCAAAATAGCACCACACTTACACGGTAGCATAATGAGGGCCCCTACCTGTAAACTGAAGCATTGAGAACGTTGTAAGTGTACAGACAGTTTATTAAAAAGATAGTTTAGAACAACAGTAGCGTTCACATATACAGGCGGGCGCCATCTTGGGAAAACAGTCACGTGACCAGTCCAACTCTCTGAGATGTGACTTGAACGCACCATCTCACGTGAACTCACGTTGTTGCCGGAAGAAAGCCCTGAACGCAACAGAGACTACTAGTCTACTAGTGCTTCCACAGGATACACACTGAAGAGATGGCGGATTATTCAACTGAATCTGAAGACATCGACAACGAACCCTTTCAGTTTGATGGACGTCCTTATCTTTTCGAGTCGGAGAGAGAGAGAGAGAGAGAGAGAGAGAGAGAGAGAGAGAGAGAGAGAGAGAGAGAGAGAGAGAGAGAGAGAGAGAGAGAGCTACTGGTAGTCAATGCTGCAACACAGCCTCGTACTTCAGGAAACTGGTGGTGTACCTGCGGACATTGTGAAGCTATGGCCACTGAAGAGGAGTGGCTGTGTTGCACGCAGTGTTTTGTACAGTGTGAAGATTTCCCCTCTCTGATAAACAGAGCTGCACTTTAAACTTTTTTCCATGTCCCGAAAATAAATTGGAGGCAGCGACTCATACCGGAGGGACCAGAAGCACAGTTATCCACTGAGTAAGTACACTAGAGGAGTTATGTTTTATATCGGTGCGATTATTTCTGATATATTGGACTGGTCACGTGACTGTTTTCCCAAGACGGCGCCCGCCTGTACATGTGAACGCTACTGTTGTTCTAAACTATCTTTTTAATAAACTGTCTGTACACTTACAACGTTCTCAATGCTTCAGTTTACAGGTAGGGGCCCTCATTATGCTACCGTGTAAGTGTGGTGCTATTTTGAGTCTTGTTTGTGGAATAGAAATAGATTTCTTTTCACGTTACTCGGTGCCCCATTGACCAGCGTTATAAGCTAATTAGAGGTTTGTGCTAAAACTGGTCACGTGTGATTAAAATGAAAACATATCCCAGAGACCGAACCAACTCGGGACACGTGTTATTAACCCCAGGTCCATTTTGCGCTGGAATTGTCCTTTAATATAGTTTGATATTATCACAGCTAATAACACACATACAATTAGACTATTTCATCTGACTGTACAAATGTTCTCTCAATTTAACATAATCTGTACATTAGATGGTTTGTCCCATAAGATTGTTCCTGCCAATAAAACAGTGGTCAATTCCTAATTTAATAATTAATGCATTTTTATACCTAATCTTCAATGTTGTTAAGAATAGTAATTAATAATAAATAAATAAATAAGGCTACAGTATAAACATAAAGCTTTAAATATACTCTGTGATCAGTATCAGATACTGCTTCTACTGAGCGGTCTCATAAACCCGACCGGAGCACCTTTAGAGTTTCATCTTGGAAAACAATCGACAGCACAGCAATGTCACGCTACCGCTGACTGGTGGTCTGTAGGCTGTGTAGTTACTGAGGCACACAGACAAATCTCTCTACACACACACACAAATCCCTCCATGCATTTGCAGATCTGCCACAGCAGAAGTTTAGCAAAAGTCATGTCTAAAAAGAGCCAATTGAGGGTCTTGTCTGAGTTGTAACCGATGAATTGTCTGTATTTCAAGCTCTCGGAGCAAAAAGTTAGACTGAGTCATTAATATGTTTGTCTGCTTCTACAGATTTCTTTACATATTTACAAATCCCAATACATTTGTTGATCTGATTATACAAACACAGATTTAGACATAGCTACACAATTCTCCACTCACATTTGTGAATAGTTTTGCTACCGTAGATATGTTAAGATACTTGGAGAGATATTCACTTAGAAAAATCTTGGTAACAATTTCTACAAAGAAATTCTTAGTTAAATTCACAGAGGATATTTCAAGTGACCTTTTACTTATGTTTAAGACTAGTCTCTATTAAAACTTCTTAAGTTAATTTAATAGCTGTTTTTTGTCTTTGTCAGTAAATTTTCCATGGCAGTTTTACTTAGACTATGTACCGTAAAACTTCCAATAAAAACAGGGTCCCAAATAAACACAGGTCTCCAATAAAGGCCTGGTCTGGATTTTATAGAAATGATCTCGATGTATAAAACCTCTTAAACCCACCGGGTCGCCCGTGTTATATCCCAACTCGTGTTCAAACTAACTGGTTGCTGTACGTGTGTGCATGTTGTGTGCTGCAGCTGTGAACATATTACTGGTGATTTTCAAGTCTCATATCTACAGTAGTAGATGTATAAGTGAGCCCACATTACAGCCACACACAAAAAAAATACATTCTAGAAAATATAAGTTTAAATAGCATCAAGCTGGATTCGGTCTCACTGGATCAAAACCAGTACAGTTCCCCAACGTATTGCTTTTGTCAATGAGCCACTGGAGTGACTCTGTCTCACTGCTTCCAGTCATGTATTGATTGATTACGTCAGAACCCAGGTAACATTTATTTGGGGGTTGATCTAAAACAACTGGTTACCTCGTGCTCGTTGTTGAAAATATACAAACATGTTTATCAGAGTTCTTTCTCGAGGCTACCGTCACACTGACCACTATATTACAGCCCCCTATGACACTAGACATTATGACAAAGAAATATTTTCAGACAGTGAAGATGTGTTGTGGAAATTTCTCTGCTGCTGGTGAAGAATGAAATAGAGAATTTCTGCCGGCCGATAAGTTTATTTTCTTTGCAAAGAAAAGGTCAATCAACACACGAGCGGTCAAAGATGAAGAAAGACCCCGAACATGGGGATATCTAAACATTTATACCTGAGGACCACCTCTTTCACACCCCTTTGTCTGCTGTAGGGGTCTGGCCCTCCAGGAAGTGCCTTCCCACCCCTCTGCCCACTGCAGACATCAGGGCCGACCCCCTGCTGGTGTGTTTTACATATGAGGTGTTCTGCAGGATCTTGCATTCAGGTGCAAACCCAAGTCCAGACATCACAATCTACAAAACACAAAAGGACCTGGCATCTTGTGTTAGGAAGGGGGAGGTTGGGCATCTCCAGTGGCTGAAACAAAGAACCTGAATCTACCATTACAATTCCCCCTTTTTATTATTCATTAATCATTAGCAGTAAAAAAAACAAAACAAAACAAAAGAATAAGAATAAAATAAAGTATATAGTCACAACTTCATTATCCAACACATCAACTTACAGACCTACTTTAAAATGTATCATCATGGCAGTTGTTTAGAAGAGGAAGGAACAAAAGAAAGAAAAGAACAAAAACAAAAACATTACCATTATTTACAAAATGTCATCATCAGAGTCATAATCTGAGCTGGGGTAATGATGGGGATCAGAAATGTGAAATAAGGCTGGATTTTGATTGCCATTTTTAAATAGGTGAAGGTTGCATTTTGTCCTTCTGTCAGAGTGACGGTCTTGGCAGGTTTGTAGGTGTAGGCCTCTGTCAGCATCGTCCAATATAATAGGATCAGGATCAGGTGGTGCATGGTGTAATCTATTGGGAAGGTTTGCGGTGTTAATCCTGACATCTAGTTGGTGGTTGTTGAATTTATGGAGTTATTCCTCGTGTCGTCCTCTCCTTGCGCTTGTTCGTCCTCACGTTGTCCGTCTCCACGTCGTCTGTCCTTGCGTCGTTCAGGTTGACAGCTGAATTCCTCTGTTGGTTCAGGGACCTTCCTGCAGTGGTTGGCGTGTACCCACGTTGCTCTCTCAGCTATCTTCACAGCAGTATGTGTTGTCAGAAGCACCTGGAATGGACCTCGCCACCGTTTGGAGTGCCAGTGCTTCCTCCTGAAGTCCTTCATCACCACCCAGTCGCCAGGGTGAAAGTCATGAAGTAATGTGGAAGCTGGTAGTGGAAGGGCTGATCTCACCTGCTGAGAGATTTGAGAGAGAGTGGAAGATAAGTTTTTGCAGTATTGTAACATGTCATCGTCACATAGGAGGGGAGTGGCCTGGTTACAGGCTCCACTCCTAGAGATGGGGGTCTGCCAAAAAGAATTTCAAAGGGGCTCATGTTCACTCTGGATCTTTTTCTCATTCTTATGTGCATTAGAACAATCGGCAGGGCCTTTGTCCATGGCAGCCCCGTTTCCTCACAGCACTTTGCTAGTTTTGATTTCAGAGTGCCATTTTCTCGTTCGACCGCACCTCCACTGGCAGGGTGATATGCACAATGTCGTCTGAGGTCAATGGCAAGAAAATCACTGATTTGGGTTATTGCAGAATTGAAAAAGTGTGCGCCATTATCACTGCTCAGTTTAGTTGGTATTCCCCATGTGGGAAGGATTTCTGTTAACAGAGCTTTTGCTACCACTTTGCTGGGAATGCTTCAACCCATTTTGACCACATGTCAACCATCACCAAGCAGTATTTCTTCCCTTCTGCTGGCGAAAGTTCTATGAAATCCATCATCAAATGTTCGAATGGTCTATCTGGTGGTGGGTGTGCGGCGTGTGTGATTGTTTTGGTTTTACCTGCGTTATGTGTTGCACAAACCATACACGATTGACAAAACTTCTGCGCATGAACTGAAAAACCTTTGGTGAACCAGTGTTGAGTTATGGCATCCAACATCCCCCCTTTTGACACATGGTCCAATCCATGTGTCAATTTTGCAAAGTGAGGAAAGAAATGTTTGGGCAGGCAGGGTTTGTTATCGGGTCCCCGCCACACTGCTTCTTTCTGTGTGGCACCGCAGCGTCTCCACAACATCTTTTCTTGTGGTGTGGCAAAGGACTGCATCGCTGTAAGAGAACTTGGAATAGAGACCGGAGTTGAGACAAACAAAGGATCAAGGATGATGGGTTAGAGTGCAGCTCTTTTTGCAGCAGTATCAGCTCTTGCGTTCCCTAGAGAGACAGAATCTGAGTTGTTAGTATGGGCAAGGCATTTACAAACAGCAATTGAGGTTGGGAGCAAAATGGCATCTAGAAGAGCTGCAACCTTGTCATGATGAAGAATGGGTTTCCCGTCAGATTTTAAGAATTGTCTGTGTTTCCACAGAGTACCAAAATCATGTACAGCACCAAAAGCATATCTAGAGTCGGTGTGGATAGTTACAGTCTTGTTGCTTGCCAGCTTGCATGCCTCTGTCAATGCTGTGAGTTCTGCTGCTTGTGCAGAATAGTGAGAGGGGAGTGAACCTGAGGCAAGAGTTTCATGATTAGTGACAACAGCAAATCCAACTCTGTTGCGACCAGTTTGTGGGTCGCGGGAAGCGGATCCATCTACAAAAACAACCAAATCAGGGTTAGTTAATGGAGTTTCTTGTAGATCCGGTCTTGGGGAGCAGACCTGTTGGAGGACAGCAACACAGTTATGTTCTTGTCCATCGCCAGGTGTGGGAAAGAGAGTAGCAGGGTTTAAAACATTGCATCTTTTTACAGTGATGTTAGTAATGACAACAGGTTCACAGTCTTTGATGAGGCCAACATCATACTTACTAACAGCCCACAGTGTCTTAAGGACCTCCTGTAGGGCTGTAATAGCTGTTGCTTGTTCTTCGGACAAAAAGGAAAAAGATTTAAAAGTGCTTTTAGGTACCAGCTGGATTGTTCTTTGAGTGTGCACAAAAAATGGTAAACTCTTAGAGTAACACTGCAGTGTTGGTGAAAAAAAATTGATCGATCAGATGTTTCTTGCCAATCGGCTGCGCGCTGACATGATTTTATAAAAGGTCCCAAATCTTCCCAATTATCTGATGTGTGTTTTGCAAGTGTGATGTGTGGGACTGAATGGTCTATGGTGTACACATCACATTGAGCTGGTGTAAGAGAGACTGATATAGCGCATTTATGTTGTGTCCAATAAATGTGTGACAGTGTGAGTTTATCGAATCTCTCTCTCAACCAACCTTCCTCATATGGCTCATCAGGTCCTGGTGACACATGAGAGGTACAATGCAGATCCTCTGGTGTCATGAAATCTATTGTAGCTGTTAAAACTGTTTTTCTAGCTAAAGTAACAAGCTCAGAGGCAGTTGATGGTTGCAATTTCCATAGATATGCATATTGTAGTTCTGGGATGTGGTGAACAAAAGAGTGTGAAAAATTTGGCTCCAGATCGGATGGTCTGTGAACTTTGACACCTTCTGGAGTTGAGATCAGACAAAGGCCTAATTTGCACATCAAGTCCCTGCCCATCAGGTTAATGGGACAGACTTTTGAGAGCAAGAATGCATGTTTGAAGCTTATATCTGGCCCATCCGCACATTTGAGTGAGACAGTAATGTTCTCTCTAATTGTTTGACCTGATGAACCAACAGAGTACACATAATCTCCACTCATTTTTGGTTTTGTAGTGAGTTCTAAAGCTTTTATTACAGAATGTGTGGCTCCTGAGTCAACTAAGAATGCAACATTTTGTTCTGCAATGGTCAATGTATGTTGTGGAAACCTCTTGAAATGATCAGATGTGTACTGAACATATGTTAGAGCAATTGTATATCTGTTGTCTGAATTCTCTATAGATTGTGTATTAATCTGCTCAGTATGTGTGTGTGGAGTGTGGTGCAGTACCTTCTCTCGATCTCACAAGTTGGTTTGGCTTGTCAGCAGGAGTCCATCCCTCTCCGACAACCCTGTCCCATTTTCAGTCCGACTTGTCCACCAGGGTTGATGAGGTATTTTTGGGACACTCGCGTTTCCAATGTCCATGTTGACCACAAAGGAAACAAACATTCTTTGGAATTTTATCTTTCCAGTGCCTGTGTTGGTTATCTTTTCCTCTATGTGTATGATCTGGTTGTCCATGTTCTCGGATTGTGTTATACATGGTTATTGCTGCCATGTGAAACTCTTTCTGTGTTGTCTCTTCTTTTTTTTTTTTTTTTTTTATTTTTGAGAATATTTGGTCATGGGCATTTATGGCGTGTTTGCAAAGTTTGGACAGGCGTGCATCATTACATCCAATGCAGGAACTTTTACAGCTGAGGCAATGTCTGGTTTTAGTCCACGTAACAAACAGTTACAAAGATGAATTTTCCACACATCTGGAATATTGTTTAATCCATCACGTATGTGGGTGTTGAATACCTCTGATGTTGTTGGGTTGGGCAGATGTTGTGAGGCTGCTGTGATGTCAGCAGAAGTCCATGGGCGGAAAATCAACGTTGCACCTTCTGGTCCAGATATTTCAACCATGGGCATGTTGAAGGTTGCATCTTGATTTGGATGACACAGTCTATGTGCTATTGGAGAAGGGGGTTGGTTGTAGGGTTCTGTGGTGGAACGGACACATCAGGGGGCACAGTGAGCTGCTCCTGAACTTGTTTTTTGTTGTGGCATGGCGGAGTCTGCTTCCCTTCTTTTGCTGGGTGTCACTGTGTTGTATGGTGGTGGAGCTGAAGGATGAATAGGTGGGTTGCCGTCAAGGTCTGGATCCAGCTTCAAAACCGCCAACTGTGGAAACAAAGAAGAAGTCTGCGAGTCTGGTGTTCTTTGTGTGTGTGAAATTAGCTTTTCATTGGTTTCAACTTTTTCACATGGAAAAGGGAGTTGTTTCAGCATTCTTTTCCTATCTCGTGTCTCTGCTTCCCCTTTCCACATCTGAAAACATTCTTTTGACCTTCCATATTTTCTAATTTTCTTACAGAAACCTTATTTTTCCTTCTCATTTTTTGTTCTTTTCCCTTCAGTTTTTCTTCTAATATCGATATGTTTTTAAAATAAAATAAAAAATAAAAAAAACAAAACTGAGGGATCCCCCTATTGGGAATCCAAACTCAGCTGTCCAGACATTTAAATTTTTTAAACTTTTATCCCCATATTTCCTTCTCATAACATCCACAATCGCCCCCTCCAGAGGTCCAACCTCCAGAGCTTTTACTCCCCATTCCAAATGGAGGTCGTGCACAACTATTACAATACAGACGTCTCTGTAAAGGGTCACTTCGTTTAAGGAACAAGTGATAAAGACCTGGTCACTTTGTTTAAGGAACAAGTAACAAAGACCTGGTTACTTCGTTTAAGGAACAAGCATAAAGACCTGTTTAAGGCAACAAAGACCTGATCACTTTGTCTGTGCTACAAGTGAAAAAAAGCAAATCACTTCGTTTATGGTTACAAGTGATTTAAAAACCTGATTGCTTCGTTTAAGGAACAAGCAACAAAGACCTGGCTACTTCGTTTAAGGCTACAAGCAACAAAAAGCAGATCGATTGTGGATATGTGAGAAACGGAAATATTTAGCCAATTTTAAACCCAAAATTTAAAGAAAAGAAATTTAAATGTCAATATTTCAGTGCTCACCAGATGAATTTCGTTGAATTGCGTTTGTGGAAAATCCCAGCGGCGACGATCTGGGGCGTTTGCGGTCAGTCCTCCCTTCTCAGAAGAGGATTTTGAGGTTGGAGGCTGAAAAGTTTTTCTTCCAGGATGGCCTGTCACTGTCCGCGTCCCGTCCCAGACGATCGCTCGAGGGATCCCACTTCTGACACCAAATTGTTGTGGAAATTTCTCTGCTGCTGGTGAAGAATGAAATAGAGAACTTCTGCCGGCCGACAAGTTTATTTTCTTTGCAAAGAAAAGGTCAATCAACACACGAGCGGTCAAAGATGAAGAAAGACCCCGAACATGGGGATATCTAAACATTTATACCTGAGGACCACCTCTTTCACACCCCTTTGTCTGCTGTAGGGGTCTGGCCCTCCAGGAAGTGCCTTCCCACCCCTCTGCCCACTGCAGACATCAGGGCCGACCCCCTGCTGGTGTGTTTTACATATGAGGTGTCCTGCAGGATCTTGCATTCAGGTGCAAAGCCAAGTCCAGACATCACAATCTACAAAACACAAAAGGACCAGGCATCTTGTGTTAGGAAGGGGGAGGTTGGGCATCTCCAGTGGCTGAAACAAAGAACCTGAATCTACCATTACAGATGTGACTTACATAATACTGTCAAAATATACGAAGTGATTGTGAGCCACACACAGATTGTGTGTGTTAGTTCATTCAGATTTACCGGCACTGTAAACAACAGAAACGGAAAAAACTCTAAAGCGATCATAATTTCTGTACAGTCTGTGTCCGTTCCTCCATTGTTTATATTCCTTTAGTAGTAGTCCTTTCATGATGATGTGTGTGTGTGTGTGTGTGTGTGTGTGTGTGTGTGTGTGTGTGTCAAAGATGAGGGGAAAAGCAGAGGAGGTTGATAGATTTCACTGTATGATGTTCATTAGCAGGTATTTGTAGGCTTTTATCAGATAAACTCCATATCAGTAATGTATGGCTCTTTTTCTGTTGTTGACATCATATCATAACAAAATGTTCAATTCTTGTTACAGTGTCTCTCGGAGGTTTGAAGGTGCAGCCAAATTCTTTGGGAATCTGTTCTGTGCAGCAGCAGAGAGAGAACAGCAGACAGGAGAGAAGATACTGGAGCTGTTATCATCAGTGTGCAGATATAAAACATTCCCTCTTAATGAAGACGATGATGATTATGATGATTATGATGATTATGAGGAATATCAGCGTGATTTCCTGTTGGATCTTTACTCCCATTTGAAGGACTATGAGACTAAAACAGGCTTGAGTGTCCTTCCATCATTACAGTCAGTTCTCCAGTCAGCTCCTGCAGTCTGGTTCATAAACCTCTCAGAGAGAAATACCTCCATCCTCCTGGAAGTGTTGAAACGCCAATCAGAGAAGAAACAAGTGGAGCTGACAGACTGCTCACATGAAGAGAGTGAAGTGAGGAGTTTCCTACAGTGTCTGCCTTATATCTCACAGCTCAGGTAAGTCTGATAATATTGAAAGGAAGTTTGTGAAATATTATTTGACTATAATTTAAAATTGAACAAAATGTTGAAAGAGATGATTGCTGTCTGTCAGTGGATTCATTATTCAGCAGTATTTTAATATAGTTTGATATTATCACAGCTAATAACACACATACAATTAGACTATTTCATCTGACTGTACAAATGTTCTCTCAATTTAACATAATCTGTACATTAGATGGTTTGTCCCATAAGATTGTTCCTGCCAATGAAACAGTGGTCAATTCCTAATTTAATAATTAATGCATTTTAATACCTAATCTACAATGTTGTTAAGAATAGTAATTAATAATAAATAAATAAATAAGCCTACACTATAAACATAAAGCCTCAAATATACTCTGTGATCAGTATCAGATACTGCTTCTAGTGAGCGGTGAGCGGTCTCATAAACCCGACCGGAGCACGTTTAGAGTTTCATCTTGGAAAACAATAGACAGCACAGCAATGTCACGCTACCGCTGACTGGTGGTCTGTAGGCTGTGTAGCGACTGAGGCACACAGATATATCTCTCTACACACACAAACACAAATCCCCACATGCATTTGCAGATCTGCCACAGCAGAAGTTTAACAAAAGTCATGTCTAAAAAGAGCCAATTGAGAGTCTTGTCTGAGTTGTAACCGATGAATTGTCTGTATTTCCAGCTCTCGAAGCAAAAAGTTAGACTGAGTCATTAATATGTTTGTCTGCTTTTACAGATTTCTCTACATATTTACAAATCTCAATACATTTGTTGATCTGATTATACAAACACAGATTTAGACATAGCTACACAATTCTCCACTCACATTTGTGAATAGTTTTGCTACCATAGATATGGTAAGATACTTGGAGAGATATTCACTTGGAAAAATCTTGGTAACAATTTCCACACAGAAATTCTTAGTAAAATTCACAGAGGATATTTCAAGTGACCTTTTACTTATGTTTAAGACTAGTCTCTATTAAAACTTCTTAAGTTAACTTTACTAGCTGTTTTTTGTCTTTGTCAGTAAATTTTCCATGGCAGTTTTACTTAGACTATGTACCGTAAAACTTCCAATAAAAACAGGGTCCCAAATAAACGCAGGTCTCCAATAAAGGCCTGGTCTAGATTTTATAGAAATTATCTCGATGTATAAAACCTCTTAAAACCCACCGGGTCGCCCGTGTTATATCCCAACTGGTGTTCAAACTAACTGGTTGCTGTACGTGTGTGCGTGTTGTGTGCTGCAGCTGTGATGTGTCTCTGTCACCAGATTCGTCAGACATTCACAAACATATTACTGGTGATTTTCAAGTCTCATATCTACAGTAGTAGATGTATAAGTGAGCCCACATTACAGCCACACACAGAAAAACTACATTCTAGAAAATATAAGTTTAAATAGCATCAAGCTGGTTTCGATCTCACTGGATCAAAACCAATACAGTTCCCCAGCGTATTGCTTTTGTCCATGAGCCACTGGAGTGACTCTGTCTCACTGCTTCCAGTCATGTATTGATTGATTACGTCAGCAGCCAGGTAACATTTATTTGGGGGTTGATCTAAAACAACTGGTTACCTCGTGCTCATTGTTGAAAATATACAAACATGTTTATCAGAGTTCTTTCTCGAGGCTACCGTCACACTGACCACTATATTACAGCCCCCTATGACACTAGACATTATGACAAAGAAATATTTTCAGACAGTGAAGATGTAACTTAGATAATACTGTCAAAATATACGAAGTGATTGTGAGCCACACACAGATTGTTTGTGTTTGTTCATCCAGATTCACCAGCGCTGTAAACAACAGAGACGGAAAAAAAAAACTCTGAAGCGATCATAAATTCTGTATGTTCTGTGTCCGTTCTCCATTGTTTATATTACTTTAGTAGTAGTCCTTTCCTGATGTGTGTGTGTGTGTGTGTGTGTGTGTGTGTGTGTGTGTGTGTGTGTGTGTGTGTGTGTGTGTGTGTGTGTGTGTGTGTCAAAGATGAGGGGAAAAGCAGAGGAGATTGATAGATTTCACAGTATGATGTTCATTAGCAGGTATTTGTAGGCTTTTATCAGATAAACTCCATATCAGTAATGTATGGCTCTTTTTCTGTTGTTGACATCATATCATAACAAAATGTTCAATTCTCGTTACAGTGTCTCTCAGAGGTTTGAAGGTAAAACCAAGTTCTTTGGGAATCTGTTCTGTGCAGCAGCAGAGAGAGAACAGCAGACAGGAGAGAAGATACTGGAGCTGTTATCATCAGTGTGCAGATATGAAACTTTCCCTCTTAATGACAGAAACATGTATAATGATGCCAATAAACATCAGTGTGATTTCCTGTTGGATCTTTACTCCCACCTGAAGGACTATGAGACTAAAACAGGCTTGAGTGTCCTTCCATCATTACAGTCAGTTCTCCAGTCAGCTCCTGCAGTCTGGTCCATAAACCTCTCAGAGAGAAAGACCTCCATCCTCCTGGAAGTGCTGAAACTCCAATCAGAGAAGAAACAAGTGAAGCTGACAGACTGCTCACATGAAGAGAGTGAAGTGAGGAGTTTCCTACAGTGTCTGCCTTATATCTCACAGCTCAGGTAAGTCTGATAATATTCAGAAGAATTTCATCAAAATGTTTTTTGACTATAATTTGATTTGAAATGAACAAATGTAGAAAAAGATTAATTCTGTTTGTCAGTGCAGTAATTATTAATTATTTTAATATAGTTTGATATTATCACAGGTAATAGCAGAGATACAGTTAAACACTTAATCCGACTGTGCGTTTTTTCTCTCAGTTTAATCTTTGATTAAAGACATTGTACATCAGAGAGTTTGTAATGCAGTATTTTCACTCATCATCCATCATATTGTGTTTTAGCTGTGATCCAGAGTTCTTCCAGAGTGTGTGTACGTTGATCTCTGTAAGATCCAGAGAGGATGAGGAGCAGTTGTCCTCTCTGCTGCAGCTCCTGGGGTACACCCTGCAGTTAACAGGAGAGTTACACACAGGAACCTGCAGGTCTGTGGGCAGAGTTCTCAGACTCTGTGGATCTGATGTGGATCTCATCCTCAAACCCAGAAAGATGTCTGTCAGAGGAGCCTCCCTCCTCTTCAGACATACAACACAACTACATAGTCTGAGGTTCACATTTCTATAATTACTGTTGTTCTTATTACACCATGTTGTCCAGTTTGAATGTTAGTGGTAAGGTTAATTTGTTATTGCTTTCTCTTTGATTTTCAGTCTCTCCAGTGACATGGCCTTGCTACTGTTTCAGTGGGTAAGAAGAGGGCGAGCAGCAGGTCTGTTAGCTATTGAAGAGCTTTCTCTCACCCCTCAGACAGTCCCACCATCAGAAAGAGTGTTGTTGAAGGTTGTCAGTAGTTTGGCCTCCCTGCTGAGATACTGGAGCGTCAGACAGTTAGACCTGACTGAGTTCTACGTCCCTGCTCAGGGTCTCATTCCACTGCTGCTCCACCATGGTCCTCTAACAATCAAGTAAAAGTCTTTCCTGAGTCTCAAACACAAACTAATGAATGAAAATACTGAATGAATTCATCATTTATTTATTATTAAGATATATTCACACATTTTATCTGCAGACTGAGTGAGAAGATTTCCCTGCAGCTACTCTCCCTGATCCATGAAATCCAGGACAAGGACTTGACCCAGTTGTTCTTGAGTAAGGTTGGTGGAGACCTGAGCTCCTGCTGTCTGAACTGGGAGCTTCTTCACTGTCTGCTGCAGCAGTCTTCAGATCAGATCATCACTGTGAACCTGAGGAAGAACCGCTTCTTACAGGAGAACGTCACACGTCTGCTTCCCTTTCTGGACAGGATTGTAGTTAAAAGGTGATCAGTTTGTTTTCACCTTTTACCAGATACAGACGTCCAGTTTATTCTATTTAATCATTTGCACATTCATTGTTGTGGCTTATGTTTGACAGCAGTTTGTTCATTCTTTGAATAAAGTGTCCTGGTGAATACACTTTATGCTTTCAGGCCCTGTCCCAGGTTTGTGTTGACTGCCATCAGAGAGATCTATAAAGCTTGTGCCAGTCCCATTATACCCAGTTTACTGAGGTCACTGGATCATGTGATCAGCCTGACCTGCAGAGAGATGGACTCGCTGGACTGTGCTGCTCTGCTCTTCACCCTCAAACACAGTGACAGAGTTAAACTGAACCTCGTGTTTACCTCCATACCAACAGGACAAATAGAGTCCATCCTGTTTACACTGGACAAAGTTTCTCAACTCAGGTCAGACATTAGTGCTTGTTCCTCAGTGCTGTACCTGTATCAGTCCTCTCCAACACACAGGATATAATGCACCTCTCCCTGGAGCGCCTTTAAAAACATATATATGTACATGTATCACCTTTAGTTCAAAGTTGTTCTTGAATTCTTAAATTAATATTATTTGTGTGAATATATGTGAATCTTTACCTCAGTAACAATGAACATATGTATTCATATTACATTTAATTAATTTATGTTTTCCTACCAGTGTTGACAGGAATCTGCTGCTGAGGTTCATCCACTGTTGTGCTGCCTCTGACGCCCAGCAGGGGGCAGCAGTCAGCCTGCTCAGGGCTGTGCAGCACAGGCTGGATCTGTCCTGCTCCTCCTGTGTGGATCTGCCAGAGGAGGGTCAGAATGAGACTCTTAGTCTGACTGCTGAGGATTGCAGGGCCGTCTCCACCATCCTGAGACACAGCAGCAAGGACACACAGCTCAACCTGCAGGACTGTGAGCTGGAGGACAGCAGACTGGACCTGCTGTTTCCTGTCCTCGACAGAGTCCGCCTCAGGTGGGAAACACCACAAAATGACTGAAAGAAGAAGCTTGTTCATGTTTATGCATCGTAACCGTCTGCTCTTTGCTCTGATTCTCCTGTTTAGAGCCAGTAAAGCTCTCCTCCTCCAGCTGCTGTCTCTGGTTCCTATGAAAACTGAGAGGGACACAGTGAGACGGGCAGTGTCCCTGTGTAGAGCCCTGGGTGGAGAGCTGGACCTCAGTCACACCACACTGGATCAGAGGGCCTGTGAAGCTTTGGCCCAGATGCTGGACTTCTCTGAAGGGCTGACTGATCTGGACCTCAGTCACTGTGAGCTCACTGACCAGCTGCTGTTCACACTCATCACACATCTGCACAAAGTACAAGTCTTAGAGTGAGTGTCACACTGTCAGGATACATGTGTTCAGTTTCCATGTAGTTATGTGGATGCATTAACATGCTGTCACTGTAAATACCTTCAGAACAAAAGTTATATAGACAGAGAACTCCCCACAATAACATAAATGTACCTCTGTGTCTCTTCCTCTCTTTGTGTTTACAGTCTGAGTCACAATAAGATTACTGATGCTGCAGCTCACATGTTACTCCAACTGGTCTCCATCAACCCCTCCATCGACACTGTGCGGTGAGCAGACATTAATTACTCGCAGGCTGACAGAGGAATCATTCACAATCTCAGATGAGTTCAATGGATACTGTCACACAGATTATTGTGGCTCAATGACTGATGTTTGCTCTTTTCTAGACTCTTCAGCAACAACATTGTGGACAGAAATCCGTTTAAGAAACACCAGCAGTTTGAAATATGGTGACCCAGTCGTCAGTGTGGATAGTGCTCATCAGGAATAACTCCTTAATGTCCAATGAAATATTACTGTAGTCCGAGTACTGATACTGTGTCTGTGCTCAATACTTATACTGATAATGATGACATGATAAAGTTTGCTGATAATTATCTGGAGATCAGTACTGAGATGCTGTAGTTTTTATTTTTTATTATTTATATATTTATATTTTCTTATTGAGACAAAATCATGAGTAGGCCTAATTTATCTCTTTGTATTTTGGTGTAACTGTCTTTAGCCGTATTATCAGGGGAGCTCATGTCATTTGTAATCATTACGAAGGTCGTCTGTGATCTGAATCCCGTGTGAATCTGCCATGTCTGTAATTTGTAATGTAAAAACTTGGGGTTGTATGTTTTTATTTTCACGAGTATCAAAATGATACCTTAATGTAATATGGAATGAAAAGGGCCTTTGTGTGCATTCTGTGATTACTGTAATCTGGGATTATGTTTAATTCAATGCAGAGAAGAACGACTCTGTAATAATATCTCAGAGTAACGGTACAGTAAAGGTGCTTTCAGGTGATAATCATGTTCAATACATTGAGATAATAAATTATCTGAAGAAAATTATCTTTAAAATGTAAATATGAGGATCAGTTTTCACTTGAGATTTTAAATAAAGTAATGCCAGAGATAATATAAATATTTATATTCATATTAAAATAACATTTTCTGATATTTTCCTCATTAAAACACCTCGTTGACTGTAAACTGCAGTGATCAGTGTTTTCTTGCAATGGGAAACACTTTTGGTTGCATAAAATACTGGTGAAAAACTGAATTCAACAGTACAGCTGAATGACTTTGTGTGGGGAACCCAAGAAAGAGACAAATTTATTTAAATTTAAATTTAAAATGTTATAAATGATCAACTTTTATTCTGGGAAACAGTTATTTAATAAATGAGTTGGAGTGAGTCAATAAAACTCAACAAGAATATAAACATTTGTTTTTGCTCACATTTCTAATGAGTTGAAGTAAAAGATTTCTTCTATGCGCAAACATTTTGTTCACAAATTCATTAAAACCATTCAAATCAAAGAATCAAAAACTTCTAAGAAATAAGTTCTAAATGTCTCTGAGTGTTGAAGGACTGACCCAAACCATCTCTCAGGATTCAAGGTTTTCACAAAGAAGAACAAGTGAGCGTCAGTAGAGTTTAATAAAGTGAAAAACTCTAAGAAACACAGTTTAAAGGGCTCAACTGGTAAAGCAACTTGTTCAACTTCAATCTTGACCACTCTGTGAATTAAAAGCCTAAGAAAGAAACATAACTGAGGAGTCTCCAACTCAATATCTCACATTGTTAAAGGACTGTTGAACTCTTCAGGTCCAGAGTTTGATTCTGAACCGTTTACATTTTGAAGGCTGACGTCCAAATAAAAGAACAAAAGCTCTGAGTGAAGAAGCTGAAGTGTCTGATGAAATGGCTCCAGTGGTGAAACAGCTCCCTTCAAATTCATTTTGAGGTTGTGAGTTTAATATATTATATTGAAGTTGGATGTTCAAAGACAAAAAGTGAAAAGCTCTGAGAAATAGTAACAAAGTGTCTCAGCAAAAAAAGTTATCGACATTATTTACCATTTTTCACTCATTTATCTTCTCGTATTTTCTGTATTATAATATGAACTTTTGCTTTGAGCTTCACTAAACTGTATGAAAGGTGAAGATCAACAGCTGCACTGCTGACTTCAGACTGTAAACTCCAGGGTTCAATATTCCTCATTTAGCCTTTGCTTTTAAAACCAATCTATCAATACTGAAATGATGTGAGAGTCCAGGAAGCACTGGTGGCTCGAGCAGGTGCACATCTGAAGACCTGCAGGTTCTGGGATCAAACATCATGATCTTTAACATGCTGATTGAAAAGCTTTGAGAGAAACAGTTTAACTAGTCTGAGTCATTAGGAGGTACGGGTTCAATTCCAGATTATAATGTTTTCAGTGACAGAACTTTTACCTTCTTCATACAAGGCTTTTGTTTCAGAGTTATTTATGCTGACGAAGGAAAACTAAATCTGTGAACTCAAAGTGCACGAGGGTCATAGAAAATATAAAATACTGTCCATAAATAGTTGATCCCAGAGTGAACTCAATGTTTGAGCCCATCCCTCAATCAATGTTCATATTTTCAGGACACAGAAACAGTTTAAAGAATATATAAATATAGCCGAATATAAAACATCATTCCAAAACTGTTTGTTGTTTCCCCTTTGCCCACTTTGGTATTCCCAAATCCCCCTAATGTGGCAGTGACTCTCCACCATGTTAGAGTCTTCCTGGCTGCTCAGGCGAGACTTCGCTCCGACCGGCGAACTGACGCGATGACGCATGCGCGGCGGCTGAAGACGTTTCCGACTGAGTGGAAAGTTCGCGGTCATGAAGACGTTTGGAGGACGAGAGGAAGAAGGAGGGAGAGTGGAGGGAAATAACACAAAGAATTGGAGTTTATTGAGAGTTATAAGGTCAGTCAGAGGCTGAACGGCCACACAAACAAACACAAACACAAACAAACAAATAAACAAACAGCGTCGCTGCGTCTGTCGCCAGCTAGCTAACAGCTACGCTAACGTTTTTACAGTTGGTGATTATAAACAAACAATCGGTCAAACTCGAGTTACATTAGGTTCACATTAATCAGACATTATTGTGAGAATGAACATGGTGTTTTAAACAGTTGTTGTTGTTTTCTTGCTGTTATTGTCAGAGGAAATCAACTCCACCTGTTGATGAGCGTTCAGTGAAAGCGACAAGCGAACAGCCTGTCGAACAACAAAGACTAACATAGTGGCGGAAGATTGTGATCATGAAGCTGCTGCAGTTCATTAGCTGCTGTTTGTGGCTGTAATTGAAGCAGTAAGCTCTACTGACTGATTATTATTGATTATTGATTGATTGATTGATTGATTCGACCGCTGTATCTGACAGAAACATAGTTGGAAAGTTGAGTTTGTCTTTAATCTTGAGACGATTCACAGGATACAACAAATGTCACAATATCTGTTTGGTTTTAGTTTTTAAAAGCTGTTTTTATTTGATACAATTGATCACAAAGTCTGACTATTATTCCAATAATTGTACAGATTGCAGACCCCGATGTCACCTTCAGGAACACAAATCCAAACACGTAATTTAGTGTTTCATAAAAACACTAAATGGTGACGATCAATGTCAAATTGATTCTCTGTTGTCTGTTACTGAAGTTGGAGCTGAGTTCTTACTGAAGATGGTTGTTTGATTATCCAGTAACATTATTCACATTTTAATGGATTTTTCTTTGAGTTTTAAAGACAGAGTAACATTTTTCCCTCTTCAAACATTTGTTGCTGTGGTTGGAAATTATTTCATCAGAAAATGATCATATGTTTTAGATAATTCAAACTTAAATTAAATGAATAATAAGATAATTTATGAGTGCAAATATCCAGTTTTTTATTTCATACAACAAGGTTGGTTTGAATGTTTGCACCATTGTTCAAATTAATAATTTGGGTCCTAAATAGAGAGTGTATCCACTTCTTCAGGCGCCACTACACCACTGACTGTGTGTCAGTCTTCAGGTTGTGGGTTTGATCCTCAGCTGATGCTGAATCGTCTGACAATCTTATAATGTGTCCGTTTCTTACAGTTTGAAGGCTGAAGTCTCTGCACGACTGCACTCGTAGCTGCAGAGCCTACAAGGATTCACCGGCTGAGTTGACTGTTTGTTTGGTGGAAGGGACACTGCAGCTGCTGTGTCGGCCACTGGAGGGCGCTCTGCCGTTGTTGACTTCAGGAGGACTGCTGGAACTATGGAAGAGTCTTCAGGTTGGTCCACTTTCCAGTTGTTGGTGAACACAGTATGTTTTTCTTTCATATCACTACTAGTGTATATTCTGTAAACACATAAATAACACAAGAGGTCCAAAATGTAATTCACCTGCATGTATAAAACTCTTTAATTCATGAATAAAAAATATTGAATGTACATTAATATTAATAAATAACTCCACTCTGTTCCTCAGTGAACTTTCTGGTCAAGAGTTCTGAGTTAACATTTATCAGTAATCAACAATAAATAATGAACTGCTTTCATATGAATTCATGTTAAGTGTTGCAGTTCTTCACTCTGACCACTGGAGGGCGCTCTTCATTGAACTGAACTCTATTATATTATTAGATTTTAATTCTTACATTGATCTTTTACAGAGAAACATAAACAATTACATACAACATGTTCGACATTAATTTCTGTGAAAGGTGAGGAAGTCTGCTAAATGTTCAAAATATATCAGCTGGAAGATTGTAATTGAATTTTTACATTTGGTGCAACATAGCAGAAGATTAATAAGGATATAAATAAATATATAATTAAATATTCATCTCTTTCACCTACTTTAGTTACTCCGGTTAGTTCAGAATGAAAAAAAGTGCTTTACACTAAATCAGAAAAGCTGTAAACATATTCCTGAATGACGACTACCCAGACATATCAATCATTTAATAGCTATAATATAAAATAATGTATATATATTTTCTAACGTGTGTCTGTATTTCATTATCCTCCACTGATGTCCTGTTGGAGGAAGAGGATCCTCCTGGAGCCCCAGTCTGGATCAGGAGGACCCACCAGAGTTCAGCACTGATCCATTGAAACCTGTGCTCCCTGTAGTTCTGCTCTTTATGGTCAGTATGTCTCAGTATCACTGTTTATTTTATGTCCTCAACAAATGTACATAAGTATGAACACCTTGTTGTGTGAGCTGTATTTTACTGAAGATGGTTGCTATTATCCAGAAACATTGTTCACATTTTAATGGATTCTTCTGGAAGACTTATTTTAAAGACACACTCACATTTTCCCTCCCTATATAATTGTGGGTCATATGACTGTTTTATTTCATACAGCAAGGTTGGTTTGGGTGTGTGCACCATGGTTCAACTGGAAGGTAATGCAACTCAAAGTAGTGATGATTTATTGTGTGTTTGATGGTTGCAGGAGGACTGCTGCTGACACGCTCTGTGGGAACTATAGAAGAGTCTTCAGGTTGGTCCACTGTCTTGTTTATGTTGGTGAACACAGTATATTCAAATATTCCACCACTGTATCTGACGGGAACATAGTTGTCTTTATTCTTGAGGCAGTTCAAACGATACAGTTGACTATTATTCCAAGAACTGCAGACAGATTGCAGACCCCAATGTCACCTTCAGGAACAAACAGTTAGAGTTCAGTCTCTATGTGAGAGAAACAACAATATAGACACTGCAGTAACAGTCAAATGCAACCAAAAACCAAATCAAACATCAGTAATTGTTCTTATTGTGCTCTGCTTTGGTTTCTTGGAGCTCCAGCTGCAATTACTTGTTTTAACTCTTCTCATGCAGAACCAGACTGTTTAGCAGAGAATATAGTTTAGTTAGTTTCTTCAAAGTTTCCTCTTAAATAATCATCAAAACTTTAAAAAACAACTCTGTCATTTGGTTGTTTTTTACAGAAATGAAGGAAATTGTGGGTCCAGAATAAACTCCTCTAACCCAAATCCCATCGCTCCAGAGCCCCGGACCCTCAAACACACACGGCTGTAACCATCTTCCACTGTGATGCTGTGGTATGTGTCTTACATTACCTCAGTATAGTAGTATAATATAGTAGTGTCTAATATAATATAGTAGTGTCTAATATAATATAGTAGTGTTTAATATAATATAGTAGTGTCTAATATAATATAGTAGTGTCTAATATAATATAGTAGTGTCTAATGTAATATAGTAGTGTCTAATATAATATAGTAGTGTTTAATATAATATAGTAGTGTCTAATATAATATAGTAGTGTTTAATGTAATATAGTAGTGTGTAGTGTTTAATATAATATAGTAGTGTTTAATATAATATAGTAGTGTCTTATATAATATAGTAGTGTTTAATGTAATATAGTAGTGTCTAATGTAATGTAATATAGTAGTGATTAATATAATATAGTAGTGTTTAATATAATATAGTAGTGTTTAATATAATATAGTAGTGTCTAATGTAATGTAATATAGTAGTGATTAATATAATATAGTAGTGTCTAATGTAATATAGTAGTGTCTAATGTAATATAGTAATGTCTAATGTAATATAGTAGTGTTTAATGTAATATAGTAATGTCTAATGTAATATAATAGTGTCTAATGTAATATAGTAGTGTCTAATGTAATGTAATATAGTAGTGTAAAGAGTTAGCAGTTATGTTAACATTCATCAACAATAAAATAATAAATAAAATAAACACACTTCAACTGAACTGGACACTTTTATATTAGATTTAAGTTCTTAACATTGAATTTGTACATTCATTTAAATATAGAAAAATAATAAACATGTGATCTTTTATACATACACAATTGTGCTGGATGGTATCTTGGTAGCTGTACTAACTTCTCTCTCTCTCTCTCTCTCTCTCTCTCTCTCTTTCTCTCTCTCTCTCTCTCCAGGTTCTGCCAGATGCCGGTGCGGACCAGTTGGGGTTTTCCACAAAGAAGACTTCCTTGTGGGAAAACCCCAACTGGTTGGAGGCAGGGGGGGAGAGAGAGGTGCCCTGTTGCCAGTGTTATGCATGTTAATGTTGAATAAAATGATTTTAAAATCCATAACCCCCTGCTTTTACCTCTCTGGAAACCCGGGAGGGGACACGGCCCCCTCCTCTCCCTCTGCAGCGGGGTGAGGCTCCAGGAACCGGGCACCGAGCGAGCCTCGAACCAGACACTTCTGCATTCTGGCCGCTCCCACGCACACTGCGCCACCATGCTCCTTTCACACTAGAACATCTTCTCCGGGCGCTTTTATCTTTTTACTTTGGCCGCTGGAGCACAAAACACACTGAGCCTCATAAGAGAATCGAACACACAACCTCTGGTCTCCTGACCACTCTTCTAACCCTCAGCACTGTTTGATCTGAGACACTTTATCTATATTTCTAACAGCTTTTCACTTGTTTCTTTGAACATTGGACTCTAAAATTCACAGTTGAGCGAGGCTCCAACCCACATCCTCAAATCTTGTGTTCAGACAATCATTTGTTTATTCACTGAGCTACACATGAGGACGGTAGAGTACACGTTAGTTGTTGCTTTTCTTTACATCTTTGAGGAGAAAACACAGAAAACTGTCATTAGAGGACAACCTGGGTTCAATCCCTCCATCCTACAGCCTAAGAGCTCAGCACCTTATCTCACTGAGCTACACCTGAGGAGTGGAAGTTGCTGCTTGGTAGTTGTATTTATTGTTCACATTAATGAGAAGAAACCTTTAAAAGTCTCAGGATGCATAAGCTGGATTTGAACCTTCCACCTCTGGTCTCAACCACATCAGTTACTTATCTTCCTGAGCTATTCCTCCTGATGGCTTTTGGTTTTTTTGTCTTTCTTTTACTTTTACTGCATTTTATTTATATTTTAAACTGGATAGAAGTCAGATCTACAACCTGGAGGGTTATATGAGCTACAACAGAGCTCCTTGTGTCCCAGGTACAACAGTCCTGCTTCCCTGCACATTTATTAGTACTTTGGAAAATATACCTCCCTGCAGAGATAGCTCAGTGAGATAAGCAGCTGATGTTGATATCTGAGGTGGAAGGTTCAAATCCAAGCACACCTCTTTCAGTTTTCTCTTCAGCAACATGAACAATAAATACAACAACAAACCAACAACTTCCAACCCTCAGGTGTAGCTCAGTGAGATAAGGTTCTGCTATCTGATCCTTTAAACGTGGAGGGATCTAATCCAGTTTGTCCTCTATTGACAGTTTCTGAGTAATTGTAAAACCATTGGGGGGGCGTGTCCCCTTCCTAAGACCGAAGAGACATCGTACATTGCTACTATATTAAGATGATTCCTCTGACAATAACTTTCATCTTGTTTTCAGTCAGTTGGCTGTTTGTCACTCCTCATTAACCTGATTGAGTCCACCTGATCACTCCTTATTTAAAGGCCGCTCTCTTTCGTTCACTCGTTCACCTGCAGTTCTGGTAAGAGGAGTTGATCTTATGCATTGTTTCTGTGTCCATTTTAGTTCCACTGAAAACTTTATTTATCCTAAAGATTAACCAATTCTTTTGTTATTGTTTGTCTTCTTTCAGAGTCAACATCTGTTTTCTTTGACTCCCAGCATGCAACACTTTGAACTAATGCTTTAACAGAGAACTTTATTTCTAAAAGAATAATCTGTTTGTTTTCTTTCAGAGTAACTTCCCCAGGTGTCGGACCGCGTCCTCCTTCAACCCTCAAACACAATAAATCATCAGAACTTGGAGTTGTGTTCATTTAATCCTTGGTGCACACATTCAAAGCAACCTCAGGAGAGAACAGAGAATTATGGATTTGGATTTTAGACAAAATACACACTCCACTTTGTTTATAGTCAAACTGTACAGACATTAGATAGTGAGTTGAGTTTCTGGATAATTCTCTTATTCTCATAAATATTTATTATTCATCTAACCATCTAACATCCACATTGAGTCTGACTGATCAGTCCTTATTTAAAGTGTGCTCTCTCTTCTGGTACTAATTTTAATTTTATTCTAATTTAATCTTATTAATAAACTTTAAGCTAATGCTTTAACTGAGAACTTTATTTATCCTTGTTTAACATGAACAAGATGAATGTGTGTCCTCCTGCTAACTCCTAAAGTTAAACACTTTTGATGACATTGGGAACATTGTTTGGGAAAATAAACTTTTTTTTAACGCGTTGATCTGATGTCCACAATGGTCGACTCCTATTCATTCGTTCACTTTACATATTTGGGCTTCTCTTAATGAAGGCTTTTATTTTACTAATACTAAAACCAGATATCGTTGTACTGATATTTACATCAACAGTAAGACTGTGTATGTACTGTAGGACAACAACATTAACAAATTCTTATTCATTTAATTTAAAGTTATTACCTTACTTATTTAGTGAGTGCCCTCCAGTATTATTTATTTTGGATATATTAACACTTCTAATAAGTTTTTCAACCTGTTATTCCAGGGTTTTTTATTCCTATAAATATATATATATATATATATATATATATATATATATATATATATATATATATTTAAGTAGCTGAAACACATGTTTTTATTACTTTTTTTGTAAAACAAATTTCAGGAACAGACGTTTGTGTAGAACATGTTGTATGTAATTAACATTAAGTTAATATCAAATAAGTTCAATAACTTATTGTTGATTATTGATAAACGTTCACGTATAACTCATAACTCTTGACAAGAAAGCAAGTGGAGTCAGTTATTTATTTAATTATTTTATTTATTCTTTTTTTTTTTGGCATTTTGGATCTCTGAAAGAAAAATAAAGACTTAAATGTCTCACTCATGAATGGTTACTAGTAATGATATGGAAACTAAATATACTGTGGACTTACTGTATGTAGTTCTTCTGTAGTTCACAAACACTCTTGAGCCAAAGTCCCTGTGGACGACGGTATGGTTAGTGGAGTTACCTGAAGACTCTTCTGTGTTTCCTGCAGGCCCTTTCAACTGATTGTCAGACAATTCAAATGAATTAAGTTTTGTTTCTTCTTTGTCACAATCCAGCATTAAAACCTTAAAGCTTGAACAGCATCACCTGAGGATTAAACCCACAACCTAAAGACTGACACACAGTCAGTGGTGCTTTGTGTTGATTACTGACAGTGAAAATACAAATTCTGCAGCAAACATTTATAGGATTCAGTTACATTTATAATCAACATAAACAAGAAAGTGGAGCAAACCTGAAGACTCCTCTATAGTTCCCACAGAGCCTCAGCAGCTCCTCCCTGCAACCATCAAACACACAATATCGTTTTATGGCTATAACAGATTTTACAATTACAATAGGAACAGTTAGTGGGAATCATAATTTTTGCATCCCAATTTTTATTTGATTATCTTTCATTTCATTTCATTTTGAATTATTTTCACATTCATGTATATTTTAATATCTTTACATGTTTTCTTCCCTTGGGAAATAGAAAATAAACAGAAATAGTGACATTTTATTCCTAATACAGTTTTTACAAATCAAAGAAGGAAAAGCTGTTGGTGTCTAGAATCTGTACAATTATTGGAATAACAATAATCAATAATAATCAGACCCTCTAGTGGCAGCAGATCGTATTGGATCCAATATAGGTCAATCACACACAGCTGGCTCGGTTTCAGTGTTACTGCCGGTACTGCTCCACAAGAGCAACGTTACACTGTTTGATCAGTTAGTGAGACAATGACAGTGGATAATGACCTTAATCGATCTCTGATATTCTCACACAGCGAGGAAACAACAAACAAACAAACAAACAGCAGCCATTGAACTACCAGCAGCTTCATTATCACAATGTTAGTCTTTGTTGTTCGAGAGGCTGTTCGCTTGTCGCTTTCACTGAACGCTTATCAACAGGTGGCGTTGATTTCCTCTGACAATAACAGCAAGAAAACAACAACAACAACAACGACTGTTTAAAAGGTAATGTTCATTCTCAGGAGTTTGACCGATGTTTGTTTGTTTGTTTATAGTCAACAACTGTTAGCATATGTGTTCGCTAGCTGACGTCGTTAACTACAGACGCGGCGACCCTGTGTTTGTTTGTTTGTGTTTGTTTGTTTGTTTGTGGGGCTGTTCCGCCTCTGACTGACCTTATAACTCACAGGAAACTCCAGTTCCTTCTTTTATTGTCTCTCCTTCTTCCTCTCGTCCTCCAAACGTCTTCATGAAACAGGTTCAAGTATCCGGAGCGACCGCGAACTTTCCGTCATGGCGTCAGTTCGCCTGAGCAGCCCGGTGGAGAGTCTGTTCCCTGGTGGAGAGTCATTGTGGACTAGAGAGGGAATACTGGGAATATCTGCTTCATGGAGACGTTTGGAGGACGAGAGGAAGAAGAAAAGAGGACATAAGACGAAGAACTGGAGTTTGTTGTGAGTTAGAAGGTCAGTCAGATGCTGAACGGCCACACAAACAAACACAAACAAACACAAACAAACAAACAGGGTCGCTAACGTCTTCACAGTTGGTGACTATAAACAAACAAACAATCGTTTAGATTCACTCGAGTTACATTAAGGTAAAAATGAGAGCTTATTGTGAGAGTTGTTGTTGTTGTTGTTGTTTTCTTGCTGTTATTGTCAGAGGAAATCAACGCCACCTGTTGATGAGCGTTCAGTGAAAGCGACAAGCGAACAGCCTCTCGAACAACAAAGACTAACATTGTGTCTGTTTCTGGATCTTTGGATATATTGATGGTTTGTTTGTTGCTCTGTCAATAATTAGACTTTATTGTGTGTTTGATGGTTGCAGGAGGACTGCTGCTGAGGCTCTGTGGGAACTATGGAAGAGTCTTCAGGTTGATTAGAAATGTAACTCAATCCTATAAATGTTTATTATTGTTGTATGATTTTTACTTTCTCTGTCAGCTGTGTTGTTAAGACTTTAATTTGTCTCACACTCGTAGATCTGCAGCGCCAGTGGAGGACATCATCTCCTCTGGTAGGATATTTTAAAGATTCACCCTACATCTAAAAGTTGATCTTTCTCTGGTTTGACAATTGTCTGACAATCTTTTAAAATGTTAATTTCTTCCAGGTTGAAGGCTGATGTCCAGAGTTACAGGAGGACTGCTGTTGACTCGGTCTGCAGGAAACACACAAGAGTCTTCAAGTAAGTTCACTTTCCAGAGTTTCTCTTATTATTCACATTCCTGTCATTGTCTCACATCACTAACGGATTAAACACTAACTGTTGTGGATCTATTGACTGTATGTAAATTACACATATTGGATTGTTTTAACTCTTATATAATACATATTCATCTAAACTTTAAAAATAACTCTTTCATTTGGTTGTTTTCACAGAAATTATCTGGACCTTCAGGCTCCTGTAACCCAAATCCCATCGCTCCCATCCAGAGCCCCAGACTCTCACACACACTGTGGTATGTATCTTGATTTAATTTAATTTAATATAATAGTGTCTAATTTAATTTAATTTGATAGTGTCTAATTTAATTTAATTTAATTTAATAAAATATAATAGTGTCTAATTTAATTTAATATAATATAATATAACATAATATAATATAAAATAGTAGTGTTTAATTTAATATAATATAATAGTGTCTAATTTAATTTAATTTAATATAATATAGTAGTGTCTAATTTAATATAATTTAATTTAATATAATATAATAGTGTCTTATTTAATTTAATATGATATAATATAATATAATATAAAATAGTAGTGTTTAATTTAATATAATATAATAGTGTTTAATTTAATATAATATAATAGTGTCTAATTTAATTTAATATGATATAATATAATATAATATAATATAAAATAGTAGTGTTTAATTTAATATAATATAATAGTGTCTAATTTAATTTAATATAATATAATAGTGTCTAATTTAATGTAACAGTGTCTAATTTAATTTAATATGATATAACATAATATAAAATAGTAGTGTTTAATTTAATATAATAGTGTGTAATTTAATTTAATTTAATTTAATATAATAGTGTCTAATTTAATTTAATTTAATTTAATATTATATAGTAGTGTCTAATGTAATGTAATGTAATTTAATAAAATATAATATATAATTTAATATAATATAATATAATCGTCTAATTTAATGTAATTAATATAGTAGTGTTTAATTTAATTTAATTTAATTAAATGTTATTAAATATAATATAATACAGTAGTCTTGTGTACTGGATGGTATCTTGGTACCTGTACTAACTATCTCTCTCTCTCTTTCTTTCTTTCTTTCTTTCTTTCTTTCTTTCTTTCTTTCTTTCTTCTTTCTTTCAGGGAGCGGCTGATGAAGTTGGGACCAGTGGACGTTTCCCACAAAGAGGGGGTGGGGAGAGGGTTGTTATCATGGTGTTGCCAGTGTTATGCATGTTAATATTCAATAAAATGATTTTAAAATCCATAACCGCCTGCTTTTATCTCTCCGGGAAACCCAGGAGGGGACACGGCCCCCTCCTCTCCCTCTGCAGCGGGGTGAGGCTCCAGGAACCGGGCACCGAGCGAGCCTCGAACCAGACACTTCTGCATTCTGGCCGCTCCCACGCACACTGCGCCACCATGCTCCCCTTCACACTAGAACATCTTCTCCGGGCGCTTTAATCTTTTTTACTTTGGCTGCTGGAGCACAAAACACACTGAGCCTCATAAGAGAATCGAACACACAACCTCTGGTCTCCTGACCACTCTTCTAACCCTCAGCACTGTTTGATCTGAGACACTTTATCTATATTTCTAACAGCTTTTCACTTGTTTCTTTGAACATTGGACTTCATAATTCACAGTTGAGTGAGGCTCCAACCCACATCCAATCATCTGCTTATTCACTGAGACACAGTGTACCACTGACACACACAGTGTACCACTGACACTCAGTAGAGTCCACGTTAGTTGTTACTTTTCTTGACCTCTTTGAGGAGAGAACACACAAAATGTAACGTTGGATCATCCTTTAGCAGCACCTTATCTCACTGAGCTACACCTCAGGCTGCTGGTTTGCTGCTTCGTAGTTGTATTTATTGTTCACATTACTGAGGAGAAACCTTTAAAAGTCTCACACACAGGAGCTTGGATTTGAACCCTCAACCTCAGGTATCAACACCACCAGCTGCTTATCTTGCTGAGCTATTCCTGCTACAACCTGGGGTTATATGAGCTCTAATGGAGCTCTTTGTGTCTCAGGTGTAACATTTATGGACGTCACAGCTGTTAGTGCTTTTAAAAAAAGAGACAGTAGTAGTAGAAATAGTTCAGTGAGATAATCTGCTGATGTTGATACTTGAGGTGGAAGGTTTGAATCTTCAAACTTTCAGGTTTCCTTCAGCAACATGAACAATAAATACAACAATGAACCAGTGACCTGTATTCCTCAGGTGTAGCTCAGTGAGATAAGGTGATGTTACCTGATGATCCAAGGGGAGGGGGATCAAATCCAAAATGTCTTCTGATGACACTTTTCTGTGTTTGAAGAAAAAAGCAACAACAGGTTAAACTCTATTGTCCCAATAAATAGCTCAGTGAGATAAGACACTGACAGGTCTGCAACCTGAACCTGGATCTGTGAGTTCGAGTCCGTGTCAGATTCTGATCTGATCGTTCCTGACTCCTGTGAGACGCTCCACAACCATTAAACACACACAGTGAACACTAGTGACACAAAGTCACTGAACTTAATAACAACATCACATAACTGACGATGTACCAGAGTTAAATATTAGAATAATTGATCATGTATCAGCAGCCAATCAGTCAGAAGGATTAGCAGTAATGAATAAGTAGGATTATTAAAATATTGTGCAGCTGCTCTGACGGACTTTCAGTCCACTGCTGAGGACGTCTGTCTTTAAATGAAAAACACAAGGGAGGATCAAACCAGCGACTGCACGTTCACAGACAGCTGACAACACCACTGGACCACAGAGCCTCTCTGACAGCTTACTAACATCCTGAAACAGTTTGAGCTCACAGAGCGTTCAGCTTCAGTTCAAATTCTCTGAAACATTTCACATTTAGCTTTGTGTTCACTACTTCCATAAAGAAGGTAACAGTTCTGCTACTGAAAATATCTCTACTGCAATCAGGACCTAAACTCCTGCAAACACTGAACCAGTGACCCAACAACAAACAAAATACATTTCCAAAGATGTCTCAGTCCAGATAAAGTATAAACTTTACTTCTGTGCAAATGTTTTCTGCCAAATAGAAAAATATCCTACCAGAGGAGATGATGTCCTCCACTGACGCTGCAGATCTACGAGTGTGAGACAAATTAAAGTCTTAACATGAGAAAGTAAAAATCATACAACAATAATAAACATTTATAGGATTCAGTTACATTTATAGTCAACAGTAGACTGGAAAGACTCTGCCATAGTTCCCACAGAGCCTCAGCAGCAGTCCTCCTGCAACCATCAAACACACAATAAATCATCACTACTTTGAGTTGCATTCATTCTAGAGCTGCATGATGTGACTGAAACATCTGATTGTGTATTTAATCTTATTGCAATTGTAAAATCTGTTGGTGTTCAGTTAGTGGGAATGGTTACATGGTCTGTAAGAACGAGCTTTGTAGCTCGGGACATCTCTGCAGAACTACTGTGATTTCTACATATATTTAAAGAACTGTGCAGCACTAATTTACAGAATCTACAGCTACCGCAATAAATGATTTAAAGGATTCAGAAAAATGATGTCTGTCTTTAAAAATCAAAGGAAAAGTTGTTTTACAGCCAGAATAACACCATTAAAATGTACCTGATGTTAGTGGATTTACAGCTGCAACTTCAGTCACTATCAGTGTTTCTGCAGGTTTTAAGATCATTATGTTTGCAATTCAAAACCTATTTCATGTCCACACTGCCAATAAAGTACTATGGATATGTATTGGTTCATTGTGACATTGTTACAGCATCATCAATACACATTTTCCACCAAAAACATCTAAAAGTGAGACTGAAACTTCAACTTTGTACAAATATCATTGACTTCATCATCCAATCACACTTAAGACATTTTAAGGACTAAAATTCTGATTGTATTGTTGTTAAAACCCAGCAGACACCCTGGTCTTCATGACATAGAGAATTATTGTTGACATTTCTTTGTTTGTTTATATTTATATATCATAGTTGAACAGGAACAGCTGCTGTTAAGAGAGACACCACTTCCTTTGTTAGAATAACCTCATTTACACTTCTTCAGCTGACACTGTATTACGCTGATGTGGATAAAATAAAATAAAAACTGTGTTGAGTAATATCAGAGCGTTTTTACGTATGTATGGGACGTCTTTATTTATATTGCTTATCTAGTTTTTCTTGGGTCTTTGTGTTGTTATTGATAAGAATTGATGATTGATTGATTCCTACAAAAATGTGTATAATGAGGTCAAATAAAGTTATTGGGTTAAACAACCTGTAGAAGCTATGTTTCTCTTTCTTGTTGTAAAATAATATTCGTTTATATACAGTTATTATTTCATCTATCAACTTTTATACATCGAGTTCCTCTTCAACCGATCGATTAGTCAATATCAGTCCGTAACTAGCAAAGGTAACGGACATATTTCACAATAAGAGCCCCTCGTTTAATGCATTCAAATAAACCGCTGTCGGTCTCAGTTGTTTTACTTTGAAAGGTTTTACCGGAAACGTGTGTGTATGTGGTTGTGTGTGTCTTTACACTGCTGCAGCTGACCGCTGACACGAGTGTATTTAGATTAACGTGTGTTTGCTGCCCTCCAGTGGTCATAATGAGGAACTACAACACTACAATAAATCTGCTTTATTACAAAGATTCAACGTTATTTTATTTATACTTATATAGATATAGATATAGGTCACTTTATGCTACTTAAAAATAAATATGAATTTTTGTGATAAATTGTTGAGGAATAATTTAACAATCTCATCCTGAGGGAAGAAGTCGTCTATTAGTCAATTATTTATATTTAAGTGAACAATATTAGTGTAATTATTCCAAGTGACATATGTAGCATTAGTATTAGTAAAACATGAATTAATAAAGTCATTTTAAATAAAGCTTTGTGGGAGATTGTTGCTGTATTCTTTTATGCTGGTGGACTGTTAATGATTCCTTGTAGAAGAAGAAGAAGAGTATTTGCTGCCCTCCAGTGGCCGTAATGAGGAACTACACCCCGTTGATTAAGTTAAGTTAGACATTATAACATGACTACAATGCTACAACTTCCGGTTAAGGCTTTCAAAATAAATCTACCAAACACAATCAGAAATTAACAATCTGTTGTAGTAAACCATTAATAATTTAAATTACACTTCAGATGTAACTTTAGCTGCAGCAAGAGATAAATGTACCAGTTTCTTTAGAAAAACGGACCAATTTATCTACATTTTATTAAGATATTACATTAGTGACATATTAGACATTACTCAGTAAGGTTCATATATAAAAGTGGCATTAAAAACTGTCGTTATATTAATCGATAACAGTGTAATAATTGATCAGTTGTGATCAGGAACCGCTGATAAAGTCTAACTGGTTTGATTTGGACTCTCTGTATCTGGTTGAGACTCACAGACAGATACGTGTGTGGGACAGACTGCTTTACTGCTGTGAACGTTGGTTTTAATGTCCAGTTGTTGAGCTTAAAGGTTTAAAATGTGATATGATGAAGTTTAAGACTGACAGTTTGTCATTCATCAGTTATTGACCGTTTCAGTTGGGTCATGGGTTTATTTTGGAAAGCACTGACCGGAAGTGGTATCGTTATGTTATTGTGTCTAACTTGAGTATCAACTCGGTGTAGTTCCTCACTGCGACCACTGGAGGGCAGCAAACAACTCCACCAGCATAAAGACAGACAGCACCAGAAACATATTATATCTGATTTTATTTATTAATAATAATAATAATAATAATAATAATAATAATAATGATAATAATAATAATAATAATAATAATAATAATAAGTGATTATAATAATAATGGTAATAATAATAATAATAATAATAATAATAAATAATAATAATAATTAATGATGATAATAATAATGATAATAATAATAATAATAATGATGATGATGAGGATAATAATGATAATAATAATAATAATAATAGTAATAATGATAATAATAATAATAATAATAATAATAATAATAACAATGATAATAATAATAATAATAATAATAATAATTAATGATGATAATAATAATGATAATAATAATAATAATGATAATAATAATAATAATGATGATGATGAGGATAATAATAATAATGATAATAATAATAATAATAATAATAATAATAATAATAATGATAATAATAATAATAATAATGATTAATAATAATAA